TCCTGCTGACTGGACTGACCGCTGGGTTAGAACATTTCCATGTCATGGATTTTGGAACATTTTCATGTCTTCTCTTTGTGAAGTTGAACCAAAGCAGTTGGAAAACTGCAGGAAAGCATCGTTTCAGTCTTTGATTTGTCACAAAAAAACCCTGTCACCTGAATGTGTGAATGCACCCGAGGAAGACGAGCAGATTGATTATCTGTACTCTGAAAATGAACGTATTCAGTCACCTGGAACGAAATACTCTGGATATAGTAAGTAGTACTTAAAGTAAAGTCCATGTTGTGATTTTTGCTCCTCTCCTGCAGTGCATTAAAAGTTGTTTGACAAAGTGTATGGTAAAACAAAAAAAGTAAAGAGTCCACGTTCCAGTGGAGGTGTGTGTGTGTGTGTGTGTGTGTGTGTGCTTTTGCTGACACAGTAGACTGTGGATTTGTCTGGATGAAGGGGAATACATTTATGGTTTTTGAGGAGTGAGGACCCACACCAGCCACCCTAGGGTCTTGTTATCCTCTCCTCTGCCGGTGCTCTTGGGGCGACTTTAATGAATACTCCTGCTCCAGCCTTCTCCTGGCTCCAGTCAGGCTACATACTCCCCACCACCCCCCCCCCCCCCCCCCCCTCTTTCTCCCCCTCTCTCTCTGTCTCTCTCTCTCTGTCTCTCTCTCTCCGCTTTGAGTCAAACCAGCACAGCCGGATATTTACATATTATTGCTATACCACAAGTACTTAACCTCTGGCACTGTGTCGTTCACTTCACCCCAGCTCAATTACACCCACGCTCCCTAACTCCCCCCCCTCCCGTCGACCCAAAATTAATGTGGTTTATCTGGTTCCGCCCATCAATCACAACAGTCAGGTTCTGTGACCTGTAAAGAAATGATGGGAACGTCAATGTGGGAACAAGTGTGTGCGCGTGTGGGTGTGGGTGTGAGGCTACGGTCCGGCCTACGGTAAAAGCGAGTGCCTTTGGACGAGAAGATACACCAGCACCCTCCTGTGGTCATTAATGTTAGTTGCAACTCATCTGATCTCGTCGATGTACTGCTACGCCCAATGTGACGTATTTGTGGTTGCTTTCTTACATGTCGGAAGAGTTATAATTGATCTTACTGATGCTTAATAATAATAATAATAATATATAAAGCTAAAATAAGTATTTTATTCAATGTTTATGTGAAGTAAGTAGTAGCCTATGTGTTTATACCGTGACGTACAACTGTTATCAACGCGGAAATACAACCGGTGCTTATGTTCACACATACTGACCTACTCAAATTGACAGAAACTCCCTATTATTGATGCGGACCCTTAAGGAATAGGTAAGGTAATGACATACGGAACATAGTAACTGATACCGTGTTTTTACTAAACATCAGTTGTCTTGAAATGTTACTCAAATTGACACATTGTGGTCCCATTTACCGTTCTAAATTACACGCGTACTACGTAACAGCACGGCTACACGTCTAGATATTTCTTTCACTCACCAGAAGACGTATACTTACCATATAGTGTAAACATTTGTAAATATATTGTTCTTTTATTGAATATTTGTACAAATACAAGCCACTTTTGACACAGTGTATCGCAAAACAACACGAACGAGTGTACTGTTAATTGGGATACACGACCCTTATTGGATACAGTTCTGTTGCTATGCGATTATCTCATGTCAGTAAACTAGTGCCCCAGAAGCTCCGCAGAGGTTAGTAGCGTTATTTATTTTCTTCCCAAAATACGATAGTTTATATTTAATATAAAACACGTTTTAGTACATTTTAAACAGTCTTTAAATATTTGTATAAAATATATATTTATAGGCATACAAAGAGATTTTCAGGGAGGTTTGCTTTCATCAGGAACAGTTTTGTTTTTACAAAATAAAATCTTGGCAGCCACGAAATTATTTCTAATGTGCGTCACTAAGAGCTGTTGTTATGGCGCACTCACCCAGCGTACTGTTTCCAGTTCCAACTTTTAATTACTTTACATAGAATTTTGACAGGACACAGTTAGGCCTCATTCTAAAAAAAGCACAGCTTCCATGACGTAGCCTGTAGGTTTATTCAATTGTATACTATGTTCATTTTACAGTAAATTTCAATAAAGACACCATTTTTTATATATATATTCACTTCTATTTATTTGTAGTGGTCATAACAGTAAATCATAATCATATATACATTTGATTTCCACAAAGCCTTTCATATACATTTTCCGCATGTCATGACAGTTGTTGTGAATATAAAGCAAATAAATTTAAATTTGATGTAACAGTAGGATTCAACCTGCAGGCAGACATAAGCACAGACTTGAGGGAAAGTATCCAGGATTGGACTGGATGTCAAATGTCATTTTGGTCATTTTGGTGTGTCACAGGACGTACAGTAGAGTATTTAATGCTGCTCATTTGCCAGTAAACAAGCCACAAAACAACAAAAAAACAAACAAAAAAACCCAAAACAGTTCTGTTCCCTAAAACACATGAAAATAAAAAAAAAGCAAACGTAGCATTTATAAAGATAAACAATTGGCACATAATGCGGGACTCCAGAGTGAGTTACTGTAAGAAGACAATTCTGACAGACCCTTCCAAGCACAATACCATAGAAAATAAATGGATTCATGTTTAACTCAAAACCCCCTTCACATATTTCAAATGAAATGGGTCACCTTGTTTAGGCACTGTTGGTTAAATGACATTTGTTCCACAGTAAAAGACATAAAATAATCTAACTGTATAGAACTGGCAACTTTATTCAGAAAGCGGAAAAAAAAAAAACATGAATACCCTATACCGTGTGACAACACTCACAGTGTTTCAAATTTGAGTAGTGTTTTGGTTTATTTACTTATTGTCTGCTGTCGTAGTGTTCAACTTTAAATCTGAAGTGCTATAAACACCGAGCAGCATTTCTTTAGTGTTAAACAAATTCAAAAGTAGTGCAGGCCATAAACAGTTATTACATTCAAAAGTAGTGCAGGCCATAAACAGCCTTTATTATAGCCTAGATGTATTCACACATTTGTGGTATTGTGATACCATAAAGAAATAAGGCTGAAATCAAATAGTTAATATTGTATAAAGTCATATTGTATTTCTGCTCATTTTGTATTTTGTCAAAACCATTTGACAAACATTTTACTGTAGTGTTCGTGTGTTTCCACACAATTGTCTGGCAGAACTAGGTTACTTATAAAGTGCATCATGATGTCGATTTAACGTGGTAGACTTAAAGACTTAAAACTTTTGAACATTTGAAGAATTCATTCAAATTGATTGTGAACCCAACCCAAGACTACTGAAAGAAATCATTTGTAAAATCGGCAAGTTATGACTGCATTCTCCTCCGAGGAAATTAGAACCTGACAAGGTGCTTATAACGTTGATGGATCTCTGGTTCGGAAGAAAAGACAGAGCGAACGGCTAATCAAAATGATTTTTTTTTGATTGATTGATTGATTGATTAACATGAGGAATTTTTGCAACCAGAATGAAATCTGAAATCGGCCATGCATGTCTGAAGAGCTATACCGCTGTAGATTCTCATATTAGAGGGAATGAAGCTATGGTCCTCCACAGAATAAGAAGCATGAATGAAGAAAATGGAGCACTAACTATGAGCTATAGTGCTAAGTAGTGGCAGAGAGGACGGCTTCTTCATGAGCACCTGCTCAGTGCCTCCTGCATTTTATCCTGCACGTGCTGCATCTTCTCCGTCCACTCCTCACACAGACTCTCTTCGTCATCCCCGATGACAGCCGCGTAGCCCATGAGCGCGATCAGCCCGATGCAAAATAGGTAGGTGAGGCGTGTGCAGAGTTGCTCCATGACCTGCCGATCGCCCTGGGAGTGCCTCAGGTACACCTCCAGAACTGGCCTGCTGAAGAGCTTGGGTTTCCCGACCACGCCGTCGTAGAGCGTGTGCAGGTTCTGATCACCGTTATCGTTGGCGTAGCTCTCTTCGAAATCTTCCTTCTTGCGTTCCCGGTGCGCCGGTTGGGCCTCCACCATCGCCATGAACTTTCTGTACTGGTTCTTAAGGTTTTCTTCCACGTTGCAGTACTGCCTGTCGATGGTTTCCTTCTTGATCTGTACGAGTGTGTTGCGATTCTGCTGCGAGAGCATGTCCAAACCCTTGTTGACCGAGCCAAACTCGCGCTTGAGGGTACGGATGTCCTCGTCGTCGACGTGGGGCAGAACTACTCGGATCAAGGAGCCCGCCACGCCGAAAATCGGGTTAACCACAGATGCCGCTGACGATATTGTGGCCACACATTGCAGCACTTTGATCAAGCCCTGTTTCAGCTTAGCTTGGTCCTCAATGATCTCTTCGTCCATCATGGTGTCAATGAGTTGAGTCTGCGTAAGGCACAAAGACATTTAGGTTAGACATTTCAGTTGTATTTCACAACAAGGCAATTGGCATATAAAAGTTTTTTGTTTTTTTTTTTAAGTCTTAGTGCTATAAAAACGATACAAGTTCAACTGTAACTATAACCTACAAGTTGCTCCGGAAGCAACAAATCTATGAGCCTTTGTTGCTGTGTCCGCAGAAGTCAACAACCACTGAGCCAGAGGAAGGACAGGGACCCTCGTCTCTTATGTCACATTGCTGCGGTGACTAGTCTTTGAACAGCAAGCACCAGAGGTCAGAGGTCAGCTGTTGGCTAACAACCTAAACTGTCTTGATTTGTGAGTTGGATGGACTTTTTGTTTGGGTAACAGAATATAAGAAAAATTTTACTTCAATGGGCGTATGTATGTCTATTAAAATAATTTTTAGGCTAAATTTACATGCAATTTGATCAAACTTGTAAATATTCACTTCTTATCTTATGCTTAACATTTGGGATTTCAAGA